TGTTTAACATCTTTATCAATGAGCTGCATAAGGGGGTCGACTGCAAGCTCAGTAAATTTGCAGACGACACAAAGTGGGGCGGGAGTGTTGATCTGCCTGAGGGCAGAAAGGCTCTGCAGAGGGACCTGGACAGGCTGGATCGATGGGCTGAGGCCAACTGTGTGAGGTGCAACAAGGCCAAGCACTGCACCTAGGGCACAACAACCTCCTGGAATGCTACAGGCTTGGGGAAGAGGAGCTGGAAAGCTGCCCAACAGAAAAGAACCTGGGGGTGCTGATCGACATCCAGCTGAATATGAGCCAGCAGTGTGCCCAGGTGGCCAAGAAGGCCAACAGCACCCTGGCCTGTATCAGGAACAGTGTGGTCAGCAGGACCAGGGAAGTGATTATGCCCCTGTACTGGGCACTGGTGAGGCCACACCTCGAGTACTGTGTTCAGTTTTGGGCCCCTCACTGCAAGAAAGACATAGAGGTGCTGGAGCGTGTCCAGAGAAGGGCATTGGAGCTGGGGAAGGGTCTGGAGCACAAGTCCTGTGAGGAGCAGCTGAGGGAACTGGGGGTGTTCAGCCTGGAGAAGAGGAGGCTCAGGGGAGACCTTATCGCTCTCTACAGCTGCCTGAAAGGGGGTTGCAGAGAGGTGGGGTTGGTCTCTTCTCCCAGGCGACAAGTAACAGGATGAGAGGAAATAGCCTCAAGTTGTACCAGGGAAGGTTCAGATTGGATATCAGCAAAAATTTCTTCCTGAAAGGCATTGGAACAGGCTGCCCAGGGAGGTGGTTGAGTCACTATCCCAGGAGGTATTTAAAAGACGTGTAGGTGAGGTGCTTAGGGACATGGTGTAGTGGTGGGCTTGGCAGTGTTAGGTTAATGGCTGGACTTGATGATCTTAAAGGCCTTTTACAACCTAGAAGATTCTATGATTTGCAGTCAAAAATCACCAGCCTAACAGAAAGCTTAATTTTAAAGGATGTAGATTGAAACTAGTCACTGAACCTGCCAATTTGCATTCATAAAAAGAAAATTCTCTCCCTTGCAGAGGTAATCTGTATCTTTAAAAACTTCAGTTATTCCACTGCTAACATTTCAGATCTCTCCACTTCTTGTACTTTCTACTGTAAGTCACTAAATCAACAGATAACTTTATCATATTTAAGGCTATGTGGTAACAGTCCTCATCTGAGGGATATGCAGCTATAAACTTCAGTTGGCAGACAAGGGTACATCACTGCAAAGCCAGCTTTGAGATTTCATCGTGTGAAAAGTGGTAGGGAAAAAACGCTGCCAGTGTTTGAAGACAGTCTTGTAGTGGATGGAAATTTCAGTTTCAGACAGATTCCTCTAAAAATTATACTGTTTTTTTAACAGAGGTAAGCTGTAGTTTTTAAACTGCTAATTAGATGCTAAAAACTATACCTGTCCCTGAATTCCACTACTGATCGTAGTCGTACAGCAAGCTTATTTTCCCTTTTTTGTTGTGCTGCACTCATGAAGTGTCTCAAAGCTAAAGAACAGTGACATCCACATGTTAACAAGCGTATCAGTAAAATCCAGGAAAAATTCTTACCGTTTAGATATGTTAAGTTTCACCTAGAAGAGCTGAAGATAGGAAAAGAAACAGTAATGACATTTCAATATGACAGCACTGCTTTAAATGGTAAGCTGTTTTTCCTCCCCCTTGAAGTCATACCAGATTTAAAGCAATTACAACTAGTTAAAAGAGCCATTGGTTGTGAACAACTAAAAATCTATTACTATTAAAAACACGTTAATTGCTTATAGTTAGTTTTTTCAAAATAAACAAACCACACAACCTTTGAAAGTAAAGCACTCTTTGGTGGACGATAGTTAAGTGTACTCAATACTGCGGCTTCATAAAAAACTTCATACAAAATAAGAAAGAATAGCCAATTAACACAGGAGAGTACCAATACTACAAGAAAAAAGCTTTCGTGGTTGATTTTCAGTCTCAAGTGGAGACTTGAGCCCAGTCTGAATGGACAACACAGCTTTATATATTTAAAAGCTCCCACCATCTTTCCATTTCTGGTGGTCAGCAGCTAAGTGATTGCCATCACAATTTATACACATGCATCATATATACTAGCAAGCCCTCTCTATAATAGAGAGCTTAAGTATTTACACCTGAGTCTAAATGTACACAGATTTTGTAGGTTTTGTTTGAGGAAGTGTTAGCACATTAGGAAGATGACTACCAAGCATGCTGACAGTTCATTTTATTCTGCAAGTACAGAAGAGTTTCTTCTGTTTCGCTTTTGCTGGAAAATGGAGCCCAGGTAATCTTCCTTGAATTGCATCGAGTCCCCTCTAGTCATATCCCCTTCATTCCTGAATATCCTCTTCAACACTGGTTGCTTATTTGAAATTTAACGCAATACTGTTCTAGTCCTTGTGACGGTTTGGCTGCTGAAATAAAACATATTTGAGGAAAAAAGTTAAGTATGTACTCCACACGTACTTCAACCCAACATTTCTGGCAAGGTAAAATGAGCAAACAATACTTCAAAGAAAGAAAAGGAAGATAAAAGTCATTGCATTTAAGAACACAGCAGCACCGGTTCTAAAGGAAGCACGGACTGATCCGATCGCAGAAAATACGAAGAAAGGTTCTGTCCATACAGAAAAACAACGGATTCAAAATACCATAATTTCATTAAGCGCATTTGCTGTAAAGCATTCCTTTTCTTTCTCTCCCTCTGAGTTATCAGACTTTAGGAAAAGTAGAAAGAATAGCAAAGAAACATTAATTTTTTTAAAGCTAGGTTCAGGTTACATACAGACAAGCTCCGAAATCTGCAAGTAGTTTTCAGTGTTTGAACAAGGGTGCAGAAGGCTGCTCTGTAATTCCCAGCAAAGCAAAAGCATATGAGATTTTTAAAGTGTATTCCTCTTTGTTAGTCTCTGTGATATACCTCTCTGGTTAAAAGAAGTAACGGAATCTATACGGTACAGGTTTTATGTGTTTTCGCCCATACTCCCTATTATTTTTTTGTAATAACTTAAAGGACCTGCATTCCCTTAAGCACCTCCACCTACCAAAATGCCTTCACCACTCAAGATTTCATTTCTAACCAGCTACTTCCTATGTACAAAATCCTAATTCTTCTATACGTGTGGTAGCACTGTTCCATTTGTGTCTTACTATGATTCAGTCGGTGTGGATCTGTTGCATGCACGTTGTTAAAATACAACCACAAAATTCTCAGTAACTGGCAACTTTACAAGGAGGACGTCTCAATTGGAGAAACAAGGGCATCCACAGAAAAAGACTGTGGGTAGCACTCTAGTCACATGATTTCTTGCAGTTCAGCAACAGTGCTATTCAATCTGAAGGTATAATGTGTTATGGCCATCAATACTCCTCTTTCGTAGAGGGAAGCTGTCATGTAGAGATGGTCCTCAAAGGAAATGCAATTCATGTTACGAACGGGCTTCAAATTCCCTAAAGTCCCTTTGCAAAGCCAGAATAGAGTGTTTTAGCTGTAAATGGCTGGTTGGGGTGAAAGATCATTGGATCACTGGGGGGACATTCTATGACAGTGTCTCCCACAGTCTGAAGGATGAAATGGCAAATGAATTACCTAGCTCTGCGGATTATACCATGATGGAATGGGTCGCAAATGCGATTCTCTGTAGTAAGAACTGACTAAAATGACCTAAAGCATCAACAAATGAGATTTTTGTAAAAATACTGCAAGATGTTTCCGCTGGAATATATCAGACAAGAAAATGAAAGAATAAGGTACATGGCAATGTCAGAAATTCAGAGAAGGCAAATGAGGTCTTCACAAAGACAGATGTTGGCTAGGATGTGATCTTAATTTTGCAGTGATTTCTTCTCTACCCTGCAATGCACTTGATTTGGCAAAGGACAATCAATTTGAGCACTATAAGGGAATGCAAACTTCACAGACTTTAAGAAATTAAACTTAAAAAAAAGGAAAAAACACAGGGATGCTCAAAAAAAAAAAAAAAAGGAGAGTGAGGTTTTGCTGAACGCTACAGGACAAATAAAGGACACCTACAAGATTAACAACCTGGTACAGCATTCTAAGTCCATGAAATCGTACAGTTATACCAAAAAACCCTTTGGAGGGACCAGTGCTCAACCCTCTCAGATGGCAAGAATTCCAGAACTGTGACATAAATATTTAGGATAAATTTGATTATTGGATGCAAGCATGAAGTGAATGAAGTTCTTTGAGCTCAAACATTACAAGAAAAGAAACTGTACATGGAATGAAATATTTGGTGCAGAAGTTATAGAAAATCCTTTAAAATTATGAAGTTTGAGATCAACCTCATCCTTGGTCCTCAGAGTCTTAAATCTGGCAACACACCTAAAGGATTAATTTCAAAATAACTGAAGTATCTATGCACTCTATTTCAGGGATGTTGCTTCCTCCTACGGAGAGATATTCTCATCTCACACAACACAAAGATGAACTTGGAAGTGCGTTTTCCAGGAACTGAAAATCTCTGTTCAATTACATGTGTGCATGTATACAGCTACCAAGAGCTGCAAGGAGCTTAAAACTTGGCGAGGATGAAGAATATAACATGAAGAATGAAAACAGCAGGCAGAATCCCATCAATCTACTTGGTCCAAGACTGACATGGTGAAAATGATGCAAAATGGAAGAAAAAAACAACAAACCAAACAGGAAAACGCTGAGAAATACTCAAGAGTAAAACATGCATTTCAGGAAAAAGAGCTTAATTTTTAACACACTCTTATATGAATTAAAACATAGTTCATATAGCCACAGCTAAAAATTCTTTGACAGGAATCTACCACAATCTACTACTAATGACTACTTCCATTGCCAGACAGAGTGAATTTTTTAAAACTTCTGCTACCTTCAAGGTAATGGCATGAGGAAGGGGAAAGAAGGCTCTGTGGAGAAAAAGCTGCCCAAGAACTTGGAATTTTGGCAATATTTACAAATCAGGCTACATAACATAATAAGTAGTTATTTACCACCTTGTACTTTTCCCAACAAAATTAAGTCTCTTCAGCACCTGACACAGCCCTTGAAAAGTTTTTCACTGTAAGCGTGAGACAAATTCTGGTTAATTGCAGCCACGGGAGATTGCTTGGAAAAAGCTACACTCCCAGGCTCATCTTTGATAATGACTTGGAGAGCTGCCCACAGCGGCACGAACACATGCACACAGAAACAAACACAGTGGTCGCATGTCTATATGCTTCTGGGCCAAAAGGCACTTTCAGTCTTGCGTAAATCCATCTGAATTTAAAATTTCAGTAAGCTTTACCAAACAGGTTCAGTTCAGATTATCAGTCACACTCTCAGTACAAAACCTCATACACATGTATTTTAGACATTCACCTCTCCACTACTACTGCATTTCAGTCGTCCTTACTGCCATGAACAACTTTTCTGCCTCTTGCTCCAGGCAGAGGCTTGGTAAAAGAAAGGCTTTTTTTTTTTTTGCCACCAAGATCCTTCACCTTCAGTAATTCTGACTCACGTTAGGAATTACGATATAAAATTCTCAAAGTTGAAAGACTGAGTAACGTGAGCTAATGACATGAGATTTGATGTTCCAGATATTCTCAGTACATGACATAAAATTGCTTCTCATTTCCCACTGCTAGGAGGAGGAGTTGAACTGCTGTAAAAAATCTCCTGTCAGCAGCAATGGATATGCCAGCTCCAAGTATTTGCCTAAAGAACAGTTACGGGATCTGTAAAGAGGGTAACTCTCAGCTTTTTAAACTGTTTTTTCTTGCAGCAGACCTGGTAGTTCTTTTAGTATATCTGTACTGTCAGAAATGCTAGGGTCAGAGGTTTTATTTTTCTGAACACTGGACTGCAGAATTACTCTGAAAAGACTAGGAAAAAAGAAAGATTATATAACCTGAAAGTTTCTGGGAAAACACCAGAAAGAGGGTATTACAGTTGCAGCAGAGCTAACAAGTATCAGCTGTCTTTTCACAAATTGTTCTGAAAAGCAAACTGTTCTGCCTGAAACACATCCTTCTCCTTACAACATCCTTCTCACAATTATGGCAATGCAAGTTGTTTTATTAGAAATACAGCGGTTTCTTTTTTCGGGTTTGGTTTTGTTCCTTTCAAAGAATGGATTAAATTAATGGTTCTGAATTTCCTGTTAGGTTTTTGGAAACTGTATTTTAAATTACTGCAACAAAACCAGAGAAAGAGAAAATTGGAGGTATGCAACAAAAACATACTTTATCTTCCAGAACGCACAGAAAGGAATTAAGAAAAAAACTCAAGTAATTCAATTTGTGAAGACCAAGTCTAAATCTGATGCAATTAACCGTAAGATACTCCCTTCAAATAGAGCAGGCTAGGAAATTCATTGCATATGCTGGCATTCTGTGCTTGCTGGGAGTTCCTACATCATACTCAGAACTCCACTTTACACGCTGGTTGTGCTCAACTGCTTCTCTGGAAGACTCTAGAGCAATATATTGACTATTACCTAAAAAGGCAGATAAATCCTAGTATTGCTTACATCAATAACAAAATAACTCCAGAAAAGCAAATAGCTATTTTTAGCCACCAGCCAACTGGTTCCTTGGGAGACAATGTCGAACTCGGTTTCTCCGCGTTTAAATCTCC